GTGAGCGGGCTGTGATCTGCTTTTGTGTCAGTGTTTAGAAAGACTGTTAATGACATTTTTCCCCAGCGGTGTTAAGGATGCTGCAAGCACGGTGAATTTATGAACATGCGTTTTGAGAGGTTTTGTGAATTAATTGAAAATCTCTTACATGGAAAGGGAGAGAACTCACCTGTACTGTGAGAAGTATAGTCTAGACGTCCATGGTTATTCGCTTTTTCCTCCAACGTGAATTTTAAAGGGAAACTGTACTGGTGTGACATACATAGCTTAATAAGTAGTAGGTAATAAGCATCACAGTACAGCATTGCATACATCATCAAACAAAGATAATCTTCTGTTCACGGGAACGAGGCCTTTTATGGTCACCTCGTTTACAATACAGGCCAAATACTCTGTCTAAAACTGACTCTGTCCACCACACAAGAGACTTTGAGATAGATCCAGAACTTTTTAAGATTTTTACTGACAACAGCAATAAAGAAAACACCCACACGAGACCCTAGAGACACAAAAGACAGGCAAAAACTTTCACTTCACTTTTGAGATCCTGGGTTTTATAAACAGAAGCAGATGGCATTAGAATTTTTTTTTTTTAGAACTCCAGTGGTAGTGTCTGCATGGTACAATTAATCAGTTCTGAAGACTTTGCACACCCAAATGCTCCGCCTGGCATCAAGACTTGTAGATCATGAGTGCCTGCGACTGGGCTCATTCGTTCTCACATTGGGGCACGTGGGTTTAGTTAGGTTGGGTGTGGATAGTTGGGTGTTTGTTTGCATCCTGAGTAGTATGGAACAATCAGATGATCACTTTAATGTTAAACGGTGGCGAATAATGGCCTCCAGAGAAAATGCAGGGTATGGATGAGAGCAATGGTGTGGGCATAGTAGACACCTGCGGAAGAGGTGCTCTGTGGCTGTGGGGGAAGACTGTATGTCATGATGAAAAGAAGTTGTCATTTATGGCGCCAACTCCAGGAAGACATTAAAACCCAAGAAGCTTTACAGGTTTTCGAGTTTATTCCCCTTAAATTATTATATATTTTAGGGTACTTGAAACTGGAGGTAGTTTTCACTGAATTAAGCTAAAGGATGAAAAATACTGAGTTATGGTGGATTTCTTCACTGTTTTTAAACATACTGTTAATTGGTATAGATCAAGACAGAAAGCCTTAAATGCACTAGCATTAAGCCACAGTTTTCAATTGGCTTATAGTTTGAAACTGACATTAAGGCTGAAATAGTGAGCATTGTGTGCTGTTGACTATTTCAACCTTGTTATTTGCAATACAATCTTTTTTGCATGTGGTAAAAAAAATGGCATAAATTCACCTTTACACTCTATTAATGATACTAGGTCATTTTTGGATTTGTGAGATGCGTTAATATCTTCCTTTCATTTGCAATGCTAGAAAAGAAAAATTGAAGGTTGAATTCATGAGCTTCCATTATGCTCTATAAATCTAAATCTCATGGAGATACATACTAGAATTTTAACTCTCTTCTTTTGAACTAACAGATGAACTTGTAAATACGTTTAAATATAGTTACATCTACATATAGTGCTACTTCTAGCTATGTTAAAAGGCATAATAATTTAGGGAAAATGAAAAAGTACCTAAATTCAGTTTCAACCTTAAAAACCAATCCTTTGATTTTATTCTGTAGGATTTAGGGCCTAGTTCTTCTAGAAAGACACAATAGGCCCTTTAATTCAATACTCTTAAACGGAGGTGGTGAAGTGGAAAATTCCCATGTATATATAATTATTTCAGTGATCACGTTTAGATGGCTATTGGTATCTGTGACAGCCCTGTCACATGTGGATGTGTGCTATAGTCACATCCTGACTCTTCCAAGAGTGGGCTTAGGAGCCATTTGGGAGGGAGCCTGAAGTATGTAGGTCACCTCCGATAATCAAAGCCAGCACGTCTATGAAGGCAACCTAACCTGGCTTCCTCTCAATTGTGTGTTCACGTATTGAAAAGAAAAAGGTTCACCACTTCGCTTTTTTTGAAGTCACCTGCCCTACAGTAGACTGTCCAGGGGGGACTTCGCGGGACGGCTCAGTCCTAAGGACAGCTCTGCCCCAGCGGTGATGTGTGTGGCTGCCCACAGAGCAGGGTGTGCACACACCAGGCAGAGCCCTGGTGCTTGCAATGTGCGCTGGCGTGCTGTGGAGCTGGGGCTAGCTGGGTATCCTGAAGAGGTATAATCACTGTAAAGCAGCGCAGCTGACTGTTTAAGCTGAGCTTTGCCTGTGTTGTTCCTCAGGGAAGCAGTGACCAGCCAAGGTTCAGGAGCTCCAGCCATTTCCATAGAATAGTTTAGGAGAGGATATAATTTACTTGCTTTCTGCGTTTTTAATTTCTTTCCATTTCTAAGTGTATAAAAACTGCTTTTAATATTCTTATTCTAAGCAACATGGCTCTCTTAAGCAAATGCATAATAATAAATAAAATTATGAATTGTCAGATTCCTGCAGATATGTTCAACCAACTTAATGAAGTAATTACTAATTATGTCCATATATATGCATATATATAGTGTGTATATATATAATTTCATTTAATCCTTAGTAATCCCATTTTCTAGCTGAATAATTCATTTCTTTACTAAATCAATAAATCGTACTAGTCAGCCATGCGCCTGACACTAAGCATTCAGTGATGGATCAGGATTCCATCCAGCTTGCTGTCTGCCCCTGGATCAGGAGAGATTTCTATAAAAGATGGATAGGAAATACAGGGGGCCCTGAGAGGCTCACCTGTCACTCATCTCACCCCACACTACCTAAATGAACGGGTGCATCTGTACTGGCAGAAACAAATGTGGGTTGGATGGGATGTGGGGCCTGTAGCTGGTGAACCCTGGGTGGAATGAAGCAGACATCAGCGGTGGACATTTGTAACTTCCTTGGTGTGCTAGGGATGGAAATATCAAGGTGCTGTAAAGGAAGAGCAAGTAGGCATTGTATATACCCCTCCAGAAGTGCTAGGAGGTGGGAGCTGAAGATGAGCTGGGTGGGTGACAGTTTTCTATAGGAAACTATTTGCAGTGAGTCTTAAGACAGAAAAGGTTGATTTGAGGAGCCAGTGGAAGGCAGTGGGACTTCTTGAGACTCTGTGTGACACTAGAGAGCAGTCAGGGGAGACTGGATGCCGGGAAGTCCGCATCACACAGGGTTTTGAAGGTCTTCGCAAATTCTGCATCATTGGCCAGATACGTGGTGACTGTGGCTGGTGGCCAAGATCTCTCATGCTCAAAACAAAACGTGCTTTCCCAGCGGTTCTCAATAATGGCTAAGAGAATGGGCTTGTGTCTTTGTTTTTCCCAGTTACACTGGGCTGCATCCAATAAAATATAATAGTCAAGGGCACAGTTTAGAGATAAACTAGCCTAGTCCTGCCCTTGCTTCTCCCACTGACTGGCTAGTGACCCTCCAAGCTGCTTAACCCCTCTGAGCCTCCTGGGTTCCCATATGAGTAGTGCAAAGGTTAAAAAATAGTTCATATTTCATGAGTGTAAACCACCTAACACACTGTAAATGCTTTAGACATTTATCTATTAGCTGTTCCCCAAAAGACTCATACTTTTTGAACCACTAGGTCTTAGACTTAACGTGGTTTCTGTCAAAACATCTCCCATTTGTGTGGCATACTAAAGAATGGTATCCCAACCTCCATGTCAAGAGAGCTTCACCTTCAAAGAGTGTTGAGCAGATGAAAGCAAAGATGAACAGAATAAGCAAGCTAAGGGTGCTGGTGCAAGCCTGCAATCCCAGCACTCAGGAAGCTGAGGCAGGAGGATCACACATTCAAGCCCATGTTGGGCAACTTTGAGTGATTTAGACAGACCTCATCTCAAAAACAAACTAAAAAGTTGAAAATGATGATCATATTGCATAGTGCGAAGACCCTCAGTTTAATCCTCAATTTCTCCATCTGCATTTTTTTTTCTTTTTATCCTTGAGTACCTTCATCAATGAGTTAATCACATAATTTCACCTTCTTTCACATGGTATTGATCTTTAATTGTTGGTACTTGAATCAGATTTCTGAGTTTGGTCCCAACATGGCTCTTTTTACCAATAGGGTATGATTACAAATGTCTTATATTAAGAATGATTTATAAAAAGAGGCATGCTTAGCCTAAACTTGTTTACTTGTATGTTTGTAGTCAGAACTGTCAGTTTTGAGCCAGGTGTAGTGACACTGAGAGCACATGCTTGTAATCTCAGAACTCAAGAGGCTGAGGCATGAGAATTACCATGAATTTGAGGTTACCCTTGACTACATAGAGGGTTCTAGGTCATGCTGGACTCCACAGTGAGACCCTGTGTCAAAACAAAACTCATCTTTAAAAAGGATAGGAGAGACAAATCCAAATTTACTTGTGTGGCTTCTTATAAAAAGGCAAAAAAGGCATTTAAATATTTGACCATCTGTAAGGAGGAAATATTTGCACTGAACAGAAATTGGGGTCCAGAACAAAAAGGAAAAGATGTATTTAAATATCTTAAATTTTCCTCTGTTTCATCAGATCTGGAATACTAATAATTTTTTCCAGCAAGCAGAATTTCATGTAATTATCCATGCAATAACACAGCACAAAATAAAGAAAATTAGCAACCCTCTGCTGCTGATGGAGTGGAAGCATTGTCGTGTAACTAAAAGAATTCAGAATTCATAGATGTTAAAATTTCTCACATTTCTCCTTCCGATCTATTTCTGATCTATTTCTTTATGTGACTCACATATGAAAGGAACTAGGAAAAAAAGTTGGGAAAATGTGTTCATTGTAGATGTAGCTTCTGACACTTTCCACATGCCGACGTTTTTCAGCTGTATCTAGTGTATTCTGCACTAAACTGAAAAATAAGAAGAGGTATAGTGATTCCCTTAAATGACTCTTTGAGAAGAAACAGATAATTTTATTCCTCCCTTTTTCATCTTTTCCATCATTTTCAGTTTTTAGAATTTTAGCAAAAATTGCAAAGGA